ATGAAAAAAATAACAAAAAGAAATTTTTTCATGATCATATGAGTTTGCCGGATAAGGATAAATAACCGGTTATAACTAATCAATTATTTAATCAATTATTTGGATTTTTTGCTAAGCAAACCCTTCTTCTACTTCTAATAAAAGTTTTAGAGGAAGAAATTCCGGTTACAATAATGGTTAAACCGCTAAAATTGACCCATGTGAGCATTTTAATTCTCACGACTATATGTTTGCTTTTTGTTTATTTAAATAAGATTGTGAAAATTAAAATATTCATATCTCAGATTGATTTTAGTGTTTTAGTTACTGCAAAATTGTCACGGGCGATCTGCGGAAATTTGGCCCGCATTACATAACTGTTTACATAATTTTTGGCCAGAATTAACTTTTTAATTTTTCTTCCAAAAATAAATTTTTTAAAAATAGACCCGGACTAATTTTCACTTAATTTGTTGGCTGTAAATTCATTAGTAAAATTTTTGAGTAATTCCGGCCTAAATTTTTGATCATTGCTCTTGGTTAATCAAAATCGAAATTTGTAGCGGCACTATGACGTTTTAATCATCATTATAATCAGAATTTCTTCCTATACTACTTTAATTAGAAGTAGAGAGAGGTTTATTTAGTAAAAATGTTTTATCATTAAGAAAGTTCTAAATTCTAAAAATGTTGAATTACTTATAATTAGTCATAAGATTTTATAAATTATAAATTAAATATAAGATGGCTGCACAACGTAGTTGCGCTAAACCAGGAACTTGTCGATTGGTTATAATAGATTTATATACTATAATTAAAAATTATAAAATACAGTATATAAAAATATTTCAGATAAGAATTTATTTAAAATTAACCTCCGGTGAAATTCACAGGCCTAAGAATTTTTAGGGTAGGGTACGGGTATTAAGAATTATTTTTTTTTATATAAAATAATATAGAGCTAATGTAAGGTCCCGATTTCAGTTCTCGTGAGGTTTTCAGGGTTCTGAACATTTTTACTTAGAGTACCCGATCCAGTTTACTTAGTACGTTTTTGAGATACAGCCCCCCGGTGGAGGTTAATGATGCCTGACGAATGACGAAAAGGCAACTTCGAATTGACGAATGACGAATGACGTAACTCGTGACGAATGACGAAACTCGTGACGAATGACGAAACTCGTGACGAATGACGAAACTCATGACGAAACATAAATTTTATATGACAAATGTAAAAAAAATTAAAAAAGGTGATTTATCCTTTAGGGGTCATTGAAAACTAGTTAAGGGAAATAAAATTGCCCTTAATTTTTAGTTTTTTAAAATTTTCGCATTTTTACCCGACATTACCCGGTGATTCATTACTCTCCCGGATGTATCCGAAGGTCTGAAGAAACCGACAAAACTTTATGATTAAATAAGTGTTTTTGAAAAAAATTAAAATTCAGAATAAACAGCGATCGTCATAAAGGAGCTTGTTTAATGATAGACGACCACATTTTGTTTTTTATTGGACAAAAGTTTCGTCAATCGTCAGTAGTTACGTCATATTGTCAAGTTTCGTCTGACGAAACCATTGACGAAACCATTTCGTCAGCCCAAATAGTTTCGTCAGGTATCATTAGTGGAGGTGACAGTTAAAATTTTCCTTCAGATAAATATCAATTTTGAATCAATTATTCCGAGATCACAGGTTTAACCGAATTGGCCGAAAAATCATTCGGCAAATTTTATCAGGTGTCTCGGAATTTATGATAACATCTATAACATGAAACAAAATCATGTTTTTTTTAAAAAAAAAATCTGGCATCTGTTATGATTTAGCCGGTCAGTTAAACCGCTCTAACCGACTAGCAACGGTTACGGCTATAACCGTAACCGTACCTAACCCTAATCCCAACACAAGTATTCAATTCTTGATAAATTGTCTCAATAAGGTATGTCACAACTAAAAGCAGAACATGGAACATCGAACTTGTTTTTATTAAAATTTCAGTTATTCATATCGATATACAATGCTTTAAATTTTTCGAACGCCTTGGCATACTTTTTTTTTGCTATATACTATATTCCAATTCTCAAAAAATAATCATAAAAATAACAATAACACATAATCAAGATGATAATAATAATAATGATGATGACGATAATAATTATCAGTAAATTGAGCTAACCAAATTTTTTTTTCTTTTTTGTAACAATAATAAGTAAATGATGAATGAAAGTGTAGGAATATTGACATTCTGTTGCTATGTAAAATACTTAAGTGTATAAATTTCGAAAATGACTAAGGAGTAGGTGCTATTAGCAGAGCTGCACAACCCGCCATGCAAAGACCTTGCGCAGCATTACAGCCAAGTATAACGAGAGGTGTACCTGCTCCCGCGGTGACCGTTCCTTTTTAAATAAACAATTAGCGTTACTTATTATTAAAGTTATATTTTAAAAGCTAAAATTACTGCTTGAAAGTTTAAAGAATAAATAAAATATACCAGCAACGAAGCCGGCGGCAGCATAACATGATACCCAGATAAAATTACATCCAGTCTGGCATAGGCCATATGCTATGGGACCCGCGTTAACAATTAGAGAGAAACTTAGGAAAATAATAGCGATCGCAAAAATTTTTTGATTCATATTGCAATAAAATTTGTATGATAAAAACTGTTATCGTTACGTCCATTTTATAATTTAATTTTATATTTCTACGTGTATACCATTTTGGAAACAATGGCTTCTTTTGTCGCACATTACACACCTGATATCACTTTCCTTGAATCGCACCTGCGTTTAATTTCGGTCAGGCGTAGATTTGGGCGCATGGAGTAGCTACTCCATTTTGTGTATGAATTTTTTCTAATAGTGAAAATCTTAAATATTTTTACGAAAAATGTACTGTCATATGAAATTTTTTATGACAATTCATCCTGATTCCATTATCCCTCATTATAATAGATACAGTAATTCCGAAACAATTTAAAATTTATTATTATTATGCTTATAATTATGTATGGTTACAATTTAAAATGTTATATGATGCCATGGTGGAAATTTATTATAAACGACCAATTATTCCAGCTCCGTTATAGAATAAGCCTTTATTTCTAGAAACGTACCCAGATTTTACGTATAAACTGACAGCAGATTATAAAGAAATTTTGAACTTATATCTTTATTGCATAACGTTTAGATAGTATGCAAGTTAAAATATATTAAATTTTGAAGTAAAAATTGTGAAATCAGATTGTTGGAGTTACCAGCACAAGGAGGAATGGTCAGTTAAGATTGTACCGTTTGGTACTGTATCCAGTAGTACTAGGGTCTTATCCAAGAAATTAATTATTTTAGGGAGATACTTTATACGTCAATGAAAATAGGTTTTCAGATAAATTGACCTCGGTGAAACAACAGTTTGTTCTAAATCATATACCATAATAAGCATGTAACGCAAAAGACAAAATGCACTAGAATGTTCGACAACCGACCTGTCGATTTTTCGGTATAACATTTATATATCTGATATTATAACAGTCAACTACAACGAAGGAATTTTTTTTTTTTTTTTTGAGTTGCAACGGAATTGAAAAACATTTTTTGATGCTTTCAACACAAAGAAAAAAATTCAAGATTTTGCTAGATATGTTGGCCTGGAGTTGCTACTCCGAAAGCACGCAGGTGCGGCTTCAACGGGCTGCAACTTCAGTTACGCATGTTACAGGAAAACTACCTCTTTGTATAGAATCATAAGTCGATGTAACTACAGAATCTTCGAATTAAATTAAAGTTGTTATTGAAGATGACAAATTTGGCTCGTTGATGTATTTCTGCATCATTCTGAGGCTTTAGATTTCCTGCGCTGCAAGTCTGTACTACAAATATTTTTAACTATTTTTAGAATTACATTGTTTCCCAAAATGGTTATAGAAAAAATACAAAATTATTATAAAAGAGACATAAAGATAACAATTCAATAACAATTTCATATTAATAACTGTCGCAAATAATGAATAAAAAAATTTTCGCAATCGCTATTATCTTTATCAGCTTTTCTTTAATCGTTAACGCGGGTCCCCTAGCATACGGCGCGTGTCAGACTTTATGTAATATTGGTTGGGTTTCATGTTACGCTGCCTTTGGCTACGTTGCCGGTATTTATTATTTATTTAAACTGTTATGTAATTTTTGCTCTTAAAAATGCAACTTTAACAACAAATAACGCTTTGATTTAAAGGAACGGTCACCGCGGGTGCAGGTACACCTCTCGTTATACTCGGATGTAATGCTGCGCAAGGTGCTTGTATGGTACTTTGTGCACCTCTGTTAGTAGCTCCTACTCCCTAGTCATGTCACTCAGTAACTTTGAAATTTATACACGTACATGTGGCATATCGTAATGTCGATGTCTGGATATTCTTACACCTCTACTCTCATTTACTTATTATTATTTGATTATAAAAAAAAAACATTTGTTGGCTCAATACTGTATTACTCCATTATCTTGATTCACCCTATTATGATTACTTTTTTTCGTTTTTTTTTTTTTTTTTATACATTATAAGATTTATACATTTGTTATTGCAAATATTTAACTATTTTATATAAAATTTATTCTTTTCTGCACATAATAACACGTCTCAAATACAAAATCTAATCAAAATAAACCTATTGATTACGCTATTCATTTCAAATGTTCAAAAAAATCTATTCCTCTTTAACACTGTATCAATAATTAGCCCAAAACAAGCAAATTTCGATGCAACTAGTTGTCGTACAAATTAGTTAAATATAAAGACTTACACTTTTAAAAAAGGCAGTAATAATGCGCAAGTTCAGAGTAAAAAATAAATTTTATTAGTCTCGATAACCACAAAAAGCCAAAAAGGCTAAATACTAAGCCACTGGCCGAATTAGCATTAGTGGTACACGATGAACTAGTTCGGACCAAGTCTGGACTGGACTGGGCCTTTTAGGGAATAGCATGTACTAGCAGACTGATCAAGTATTTTGTAAAATAATTTTTTTCAAATTTAGTGATCGTCATTGTGGCTTAGCTCATTTGAATAAAGTACTTTTTATTCTTGTGATTTTTTAAAACTTATCTAATTAAACATATTAAAAAAAAAGTAGCAGCAAAAATAGCTTTCGAGGCCTATAGTCTGTTAAAATTAATCGAAAATAATCATAATATTTAGAAAGCTTTATACGAGGCGAATTTTATAAGAGATAGTAGGTAATTGAGTTCATAATTCATACAGACGAAGGTTAAACCCAAAAAAATAGCAAGTGACTAAGATCTAGCATTTTTTAGGGAAAGAAAAAACGATTCAAGATAGTTTTTTACGCAAAGAACGAAGTAAAAAGATAAGTTAATTTAGTTTTTATGTTATTTAAATTAAAAAATTATATTATAAATACATCAGATTTATAAGTTAAATTTTACTAATTTTTAATACATCATACACCACATGGAAGGGAAATCTAATGTAGATCATTTGGTCTTTTCAAATTTCAATTGAAGATATCTCGATACCTACTTGGCCAAATCCAATGAACTTTTTTTTACTTGTGGACATTAGTAGAATTCGAATAAAAAAAATTTTGTCGAATCTGATTAGGTGGATATTGAGATACCTTCGTCCAAAAGTTTGAACACACTTCTATTTGATAAATGCATTATTATATCAATTGATATTTCGAATTGGTTTTAAAGAAAGAATTGATTTTATAAAACAAGTCCAAATAAGTTTAGCCAGAGAATTGTAATAAAATCTGATTTGCTAAATGATATCAAGATAATTAGCCCATGATCAAAATTGCGATAAACTAGGTCCATAGGATTCATAGTATAAGGATAATTGACTCATTGTTGGCTGGCTTTAATATCGTGTGATTGAAAAATTTGACAATATTTTTGTACTAACTAAATTAAATGATTATTGTTAACTATTTAATACATCGACTAATGTGAATAAAATGACCTTTGATATAAAGTAACACTCTAAGGCCGTTCTCAAGCGCCTAACTAATGAGTTTATCGATCGATTTGATTGGTCGAAACTTCGGTCAAAAAAAACCTGGAGCTGCGACCATCAATTTTTTTTGCACTGATTGGTTAAAATTTATCATTAATAGAGTAATCAAAGAGATTTCTCAAGCTCAAATACTCTATCTTTCTTTTTTTTCTTTTCGTAACATGGATTCTCAACAAGACCGTCGTTCCGTTATCAAAAGACCATTATTCTACTCTTAATGCTAAAAACTCTTAATAATAATAAAAGACGTTCAGAGTTAATATTCAAAGAATAAAAAATTATTTTTTTTATATGCGTATATTTATTATTAAAATAACATTTATTATATTTCGATATCGCTTCTTTTAACATTAAAAAATCCATATAAAGTTGCGTTGCCGAATATTGTTGTTGCGTATTGAGTGTAGCCAAATATAGCTGCTGTCGCAACGATAAGTTATTTGTGAAATAATTGTTAATAAGACGGATCTGCAGGAAAAGTTTTAAACGCCGAAGTCTTGGGTGCTAAATTTTTAGGTAACTAGGTAAGACGCCTTTTTTTTTGTAGCCATAATAGAAATCGATGAAAGAGATAGCTCAAGCATCGATCGCAATCTATGACCCTAGCATTCCCAATCTAAAAAATTTCGCTACCAGAGTTAGGGTTAGGTTAGGGTTAGGGTTTGGGTATTTTTAGTTTAATTTTATGTTACACCCGATCTTAAATTTTAATTCAGCCTAATTGTGAAATTTTTTAGGTTGGGGATGCTAGGGTTGTTATCGCAATCTTTATTTCAATTAATCGTAACGTCACCTCGGTCACTAGCCAAGGTAGGCGCTTGAGAACGCCTGATACTATAATTTACATAGAGATAGAAAGTCAAATGATTCCAAATTTTCTGAAAAATTTCTCTTAGTAAATATCGATTAAAAAAAAAAAAAATGCTTAGAAACATTCATCAAAAATTATCCATATTACCAGATTTTTCTCATGATCATATTGTTTAGACTTCTATTTCATAAAAATCATAAATGGTTTATTTTCATCGCCTTATAGCATATACTGATACGTTTAAGGATCTTAACATTCTGTAGTAAAGTAGGATGGCACTATATACGTGTAGATTACCATCGATTATAACAATTCATTGATATTTAAGAATATTTTCAACTTTTACAAATAACAAAATACATGTTTTTTTTGAGATATTCAATCTATAGTATACATAGATGTTTTTTTTTTTATTTAAACAACGTTGAAAATGCATTACCTTCTCCTTTCATGTCAACAACATGAAATATTTGAGCTATCCCTTTTCCGTAACCATTAAATGCCTCATTAACTCTATTTAATATTTCTCAATACAATCCTGACCTTTTGTTAGCGCTTGCTCGCATATATGCTTATTAAGAAAGTTTAACTTATTTCAATTCCTAAGGTGATTTCTAGAAAACATAAGTTATTTTATGTGTCGTATCTATCTAATATCCTCTACTAATTACGTGTATGAACTAATCATAAATATTAATATTTTTTAGAAATTGTAACCAAATCAATACTGAATTCAATAGTTCGATGTTTATCTATAATAGATATTTGTGCCATAATATTAGAAAATAACTCTTATGAATTCTCGGTTTAATTTCAAAATAAATATATAATTTTTAAGTTTAACCCATTTAAAATCACACAATTGTAAACCATAGTTCCTTAATTTTTATTCGTGATAATCGTCCGTGAGCTCTTAGTTTAGAGAAAATTTGATTATTTTTATCAACCTGTTTTATAATACTTTCAAAATTTGAAGGTACTAATTGGTTTGTATTTGTATAACCTTCATTTGCGTTGGTATTTGTTTTTTTTTTAACACTGTCAATCGAATAGGATAAATCTTACATTCATTTATTCAAGTTTGATAAGAAAAATATATATCAAAGTTGAATAAGAAAGAATCTCACATACTTATGAGGCTTTCAACTAGTGATTTTAGGCCAGATAAAGTAGCCTTGGTTAATCAGGTTATCACATGATTAAAGTTGGTTATAATGATATAAGTATTAATGGCTGTTTTTTTTTTCTAAAAATATTTTATTTATATTGTTATTAATAAACTTTTATACTTTTAGCAATTTTAAATACTATTAAATTATAGCTTTATTATTAATACTAAATATTAATAATTAATTAATAATAGCTTTTTTTTTCACTTAGACAGTTTCACCAGTATTTTATTAAGATTCTAAGTATATTGCTACATTAATATACTCATTTACTCCTAATTTGCAAATTTGACATTACCTGGCTGCTAAAGGTACCCAAGTGCAACCTGCTGCACTAATTTGAAGACTAACCTAAAAATTAGAGGCTATGTTAAACTAGCCTAAGTGTCACATCATAATGGCTTTTCCTTTTTTTTTATATTCCTTCAACTAACAAGAAATTTAATAAAGACAAAATAAGAAAAGGAGATAAAAAAAAAAAAGCCAAGAAAATGAAAGAAACAAAAAAAGAAAAAAAATGTACTAAATAAAAAATAGAAAAAAAAAACAAAAAGAAGAAAAAAAAAATTATATAGTATAGGCACGAAGGCTAGTTTAATAAAAACCAAACTATAAAAGAAAAAACAAAACCTATCCCTTAATTGGTAAAGATTTGCAGACAAATTTGGCTATATAATTACTATAAATATGTCTCTGATCTACTTTTTAATTATTTAAAATATTTAAATAAAATTTAATATGATAATATTTGAAAATAAGGATTATATTTTTGTAGAATT